ATAAATTTTTTAGAAAAACCCACCCGGATAGTAAATATACTTAAAATTTTTTTTTAAAGTTTTGTAAAATTTGACCCAGCCGGGTTATGAGAACCGATTTATTAAGTTTTTATGGCCTAATGTATAATTGACCTTATCCCCTGCTGTACCACAATCCACGTGATTATGTCCGCAAAACGGCAAAATATGCCTCCTGACGCCCTATTTCTGAATGCTAATGCTTTATCAAAATAAATGCTACCCTTATGTTGCAAACCTTGTAGAATCTGGTCAACTGGATGTACTGGTAGTATGCGGTATGCATCTTGTTTATCCACTTTGGACAACAGGCATCCTCGGCCATACTGCATTATCCATCCAATTGCATAGTTCAGATTTTTGTATTTGGTCGCAAACTCAATTATGTCGATATCATCATTCACACTCGCCCCAAATGGTGCTGACAAGTGTGATATTATGCAGTAAGACTGAGAATTCGTATCCTTTTTCTCTACTAATCCACAAGGATTGATTTGAAATGCGGAACATGGAGGATCTGACAAAGAAAACGGACCACACATATGCCCTGCTGCCATTTCTTTAGTTATATATCCTTCAAAAGCCTCAGGTGCTATGTTAATTGACTTTAAGTTCTCTTGTACAGTTACTGCCCGTTTGCCAGTAAAGTTAAACCGAAATCTTTGCTCTATGCTATTACTCAAATACTGGACAAATTCCCGATTTGGGTGGTCACGTGTTAAGTATTTGAACGCCAACTTATTTATAGGTGTGGTTGTATTAAAGACTTTTAAATTTATTTGTGCCATGATATTCCTTCTTCTTGTAATAGCGGATTACATTTGGGTGGAATAGCCTCAAATGTCTGGTTAACTGACTGTAGGCTCAGCTCTGTACAAGCTGTGATTGCCTTTGATGCTTTGAACTGTGCCGGGTGCCTAGCATAGAATTTCTGAGTATGTTTTTCCCTAGCTATTAAGTATAGATTTGGCGTTAATATCATTTATTAGTGAAGTTGCATACCACATCGTGTAACAATATATATGAATGTCCTTCTTATTTATTTATTTATTTCTTATACATATATTCATTTAATATGTTATATTATTGTTCTTTTTTTTTTTTTTTTTTTTTGCAATGAAGCTAAATTCTCATATAATACTAACACCATTAACTCTCTTATAGTTTCTTGTACACTCAGCGCTTATTGATCACTCTTTGGTGAGTTACTCTTCGCTGTGTTACTATATCTGTTATTGTAACCTTTCCTATAACAGGTTCTTTCGTTGTGGCCCAGTTTCTTGCACACTAAACACGCGTGGATTCTTCCACATGCTTTATCCTCTGAACATGATTTTTTATTCTAATTTAAACATATTTTCTTCCCATCATACCACGTAGTGTCGGCCCAGTCTGGACGCCCGTACTCAATCCTTGGTCTCTTAGCTGTGAATGCTTCGAAATTTTTTCCTTCAGCTTCGATATCCCGTTCAAGTAGTGTGGTGTCCCTGTTCATAATTAACGCAATTCTACAGTCCTCATCATATCCCAATACAGCTAAGAAGTTATGTTTGATACTTAACTCGTTTATGTGGTCCCTGTATGCATTCAATTCCTGCTCTCAATTTTCATACAGCACCAAAACTGCATCCATATAAACTTTGAATGCCAGCAACCATTCTGATATGTTTTGAAACGTGCTGGCCCGTATGTGTTTTCTAATTGATATCGCTCCGCCATTAGATGCTTGTAAGATTGTGTCTTCGGCCATATACTTCACGTTATCAATCATATTTTTGTGCGAAAATTCTTGAATATTTATGAACGAACTGAAAGCCAATGACTTCCAAATCTTGTTAGTTAAACTTGGCTTCTGTGGGAGCATCTTGATCATCTTCTGGCCCTCATTCCAATTCGACACCCACCACAGCCGAATATGTTCCATTTCTATAGCCTTCAGGTTATACAAGCCTTGTACTGCAGGAGTTAGCTTAATTTCAGAATAATCGATGGCTGGAAATTTTCTTAAGGTCGCTTTAAGTTTTACACAGCTGGTCCTTTCTTGCTTCTCGTTATTTTGGGCCACCGGGTCTGCTTCAATAATTAATCTGTTGAGTGTTGGAGTTGAGGGATAATTACCTTATTAATATCTACGTTGCTGCCTGAACTTGCTATACGAGTGGTTTCCTGAGTACGATTGTGTATATGCTGCGTGCTTGTTGAGTTCTGGCTGTCGCTATTGATTTCATTGCTGCCCATATTAGCTTGTTCTAGTTGCGCAAACCTTCTGTTAATCATTTCAAATTGCTGATCCATGTATTGACGCATTGATTGTACCATTGATGTTACGGTCGCTTGAATCATTATATCCATATACGCCTTTGCCTGTAAGCTTAGTGGGATCTCATGATACTGTGAATCTTGCTCCTGGCTACCAGATGGCTCTAATGATTCGATTGTTTTCTCCGATAATATCCTTCTTCCGGGCTGGCTATCTTCCAAAGCTTTCCTTTGCTTTTTGCTTATCGCGAAATAATTTACTTCTCACAGTGGAAATGGCGGCTCTTAATGCAGTTGTTGTAGTTACCTCCTTTTCTACCCTGTAGTTTACCTGCTTCAGTCCTGGCCGGGAGGTGTCATCGATTACCATTATTGGAAGGTGATTTAACATCATGCCTACCTGCATTTGGCTTCCATATGACACAGTATTGCTTTCACATATTCCCATTCCTTGCTGCATTAGACTCATGATAGTCCAGCCCCCGAAGAGCTTACCCCTGATTAGCCAAATTTTCGATCTGTTGACTACATATACGCATGTATGCATGTCAACTCGAAGTAAATCATTTTTGCCTTTATTGATTCAAACGTTCATTAGATAAGCTATTGAATTAATACGGGCAAAAAATAATTTACATGTATAAAAGAAACGGTATATTGGTTTAAAATGGACCGAATTAGGCTGACCTTCCTAGCAAAGATTCCATATATATTTGTGCAATACGTATTTGATTTAAATGTGTGAAAAATGGTTAAAAAAATGCCATTCTGTCTATTCGACACGTATATAATACGTACAAATCCTTTTTATGGGGGTTGTCCATAACAAATTCTGAATTTTGTAATTAATTTTTAATGTGTTTGGTTTTACTTTATTTTATATTTAACCAAAATAGTTTATTATCAATAATTGGTATTACACTAATCATATTTAAATATAAGTTGGAATATATACAATTTTTAACTACAATACTGTTAAATCTTTCATTTAGCAATCTATATATATTTCTAAACTTTCTCTACATGATATACAAACTAAGTCAGTTGATGAAATCATAATGCGACACTCTATATTATAACAAAATAAATGAAGAAAATTTCAAGATTAGGTCGTAATGCTATATCTAAACAAAAGCTTTATGATATAATGTAATCATTGGCATATATAATGATAAATATTGTTGTCTATGTTCCTGATTTTAGTGCGACAGTCGCACATCTACCTTATAATAATAAAATTATCTTAAATATAAAAATATACACCAATCATTGCCGAAATCGATAACTTATCGAATTGGCCGAAAAATCATTCGACAAATTTTTATCAGGTGTCCCAGAATTTATTAACGATATTTATTTTAATCGTTTTAATAGATTTAATTCAAAAAAAATCAATATTTGTTTAATTAAATATAAAGATATACGGATTACTCGATTCTAATTCAGAAAAATAGGATGATACTGTTGAGAAAAGAATGACTGCGACTCGGTCGCTTCACAATCTATAATCTCGTATAACCAATGATAGGTAACTTACAGAAGAGGCGTGTTAGATTTGGCTGGTGGGCGATTAAGGCTTTCGGTTATTTAGGGTTAATAAAGACAATCAGGGTAAGTCACGTGGGCAAGAACTTGAGTGAAGACGATGTCTCTAGTGTTTATAGGGTTTATAATCTGGATAATGATGGTGTAGTTTTGTGTGGTTTTATAGAATTGGGACTTATTATTTAATAAAGCAAATGAGACATATCTTTCTTAAGGGCCATTTCGGCCTTTATTTATAATACTTAATTGCGCCTCTTACAAATGTCATATTATATTCAATATTTAATAAAACTATTTACATTCATTATCTTTAAGAATCCTTAATTTCTATTGTATTTCCCCTTTTAACCTCTTATATGCCCCTCTATATCTGAAATGCAACTCACGATCTGATATATAATTAATTGCATTTCGTGCATTTTTCACGTGATTGTCCCGGCCTATACATCACGTTTTCTGAATTTCACAATACCCTTTATGAAATTTGGTTGGTTAAATCTAACATAATATCGTGTGTAAATTTTGTAATTTATTTAATATATTATTATCTAATGATGCTGAAATTTGAACTTATTTATTTAAAGTTAGGAGTTAGGGTTAGGGTTTATTATAAAAGGTATAAGGGTATATATGGATTTTAATAGGGTTTATATTTTAAATAAGACACCAAATTTTAGCATCATCCATCTCAGTATCATTGTTCTTCGTCATTTTTCAATTTCCCTCGCTTCGAAAGTGACATATATCATTTACAAATTTAAAAGTAAACATATGTTATTTCATAATGGGTGAAAATTTATTGTCTAAATAATTTTTTTTTTTTTTTTATAAAAAAACCCCTTATGTGGTGTAAGAACATAATCATAAATGCTCTGTTACATAAATTTGAAGAAAAAATAAAAAAAATTATCTATTTTTTTTTGACGAGAACACGATTTAGAGCTGCAACTTGTCTTTGAAAACAACAACAATTAGGTTGATTTTTTTATTTTCATTGAAACGGCTTTTTTTCGGTTGAAAAAAATGGTCATTTCGTTGCGTCATTCAGGGATTCTTTGAATAGTTGGGTTTTCTATGTAAAAGTATATAATTAATTATTATTTGATAAATTGCTTATATTAATTTATACATATGGGGGGGAGTCAGTAGAAATGGGACAAATTTTTTCTAAGTAAAAGATTTCTTAACTTTAAATATAAATATATGTCAACTATCTTATTAAATCTAATAAATTTTTTTTTTATTTTAATTTCAGGTAATTCTAGAATTAAAATAAAAAAAAATTTATCAAAATTAGTTAAGTAGTTGTCAAGAAATTGTAATTTAAAAATTAAAAAAAAATTCACTAAAAATGATTTGTCCCATTTCTACTGACTCCCCCCCATATTTATAATTTTTTTTTTTTTTACCTTTCGACATTTAAATTAACTTTTCTGTTTTACTAATTAGTTCTTTAAGATTCGTTTTAAAGATCGAAAAATCATGCTATCTAAGGGAACCAAGATAATTTGAAGTTTCTAGTGGTTGAAATCATTTGCTGAATACCAATTTTCTGCTACTCCAAATTGGCAAGCAACTTGATATGAGTCACGACTGGGCTTTTGCAAGGTAATGTCAATGCATAGAATATGAATTTTTACTAATTCACCTGGCTTAAAGGTTCGGTCGCATTTTTTCTATATTTTTTTGCATCCTATTTCGAATAAGGTTACGATTTCGTTGAATATTTAAGATGCTGAATTGCAGACCATTTTATGATTTTCAAATGTTGGACGAGTTACGCTTGATATATTACTTAATGGTACCCGTTGCTATAAAATGTAGTACGCAAACACTCACTATTCCTGTTCATTAAACAACATTTATTTTTTGTGATTTGTCAAAAGTTACGCAATTCAGGAAATTATATCGTGCAGTTCCATGGTCATTATTGAGAAATTGGAAAAAAATAAAAGTATTAAAGTTTATTTTTTTATCTTATTTATATTAATTTGTTAATACGTCATCAATTCTTAATCACTGTAATGTGTCTAATAATTAGTGATGAGAAATGGCTCTATCGGGTTGTATATATATTAATTATAATAAAAACTATTAATTGATTAATAATTGCATTAAGAGCTGAGTAAGCTATTTTTCAATCGGTAGAGATTGAAAAATCACATATGTCAACTGGTAACTGGGTTTACTAATATTCACCACCAGTTCCTATTGGACGGTTGCTGATCTTGTCTCTCATTGGTTGGAGTTGATATATTCTTTATGCATCGCAAGTGTCATCTTTGAACAATTATGTATTTTATTAAAATTTTTTTTTAAAATAATTCTTTCTGTTTTCTGATACTAATATTTAGCAATTTTTTGAATTTGGCAGCTCTTAAACCTTGCACTATCAATTAAATATATATATCGGTTTTTTACTGATCTATTGAATTTAGCAACTCTTTTTTTTTTTTACTTCAGCGATCCTACTTTTATTTTTTATATCGGCAGTAAATTACAAAAAAACTCTCAGCTAGCTTAACCTACATGCAAATTTCTAAATTACTGTATGCCAGTACAAATAAAAATTCTCACGATCTGTCTCATTATTGCAATAAAAAATAAAGTAAACCCTAAATCTTATGCTAGAGTATGACCCAGGAGCGACCCGCCTAAGTGACAATTAACCTCCTTCTAGGATCCTCAACTTACTGAGGATGTGAGCCCTGGATATCAGCAGATGGTAGCACTGACCTTGTCAGAATCACCGCTCTACAATAGAGTATCGCCAATCTGATGACACTTTCTTGTAGAGAAGTAAAAAAGAAAAAAAAGGGGTGAGGGTGTAATGAAAATGGGGAAAGTAAAAAAAAACAAAAACAAATACGAAAAGACCAAAACATAAAGGAAATAAAAAAAAACTATCCTAAAATCTAAGAGAACTGCTTACAGATATAAAAACCAGTTAACTAGGTAAAAAACTATCTACATAGTCATAGAAAACTATACATAGAGCTATCTGACAAAAAGAGTAACTAAGAACTAAATGCACTTTAACCTGTGCTTAGGACTAAAAATTATATGCATATGACTTCAGAATATTACATATCTCTGATATATCACTCTGTCTTACAACTCTTGATTAAATCCACCTCGAATCTTAGAACGCTAATTTTAAAGCCTCGACATGTGATCGTCAGTTCCATTTATACTAGACCGCTCTTTACCGAATTACAAAATCCTCTTACAGTTCTTCTACATCTTGTTTCTTCACTATACGAGATTAAACAGGGGGTCTTCCCTATGGTCTAGCGGCATCATTGGAAGCTACTTCCTCAGGTCTGTCATATACGGTATTCATTCCTGTACAGTCATAGCCGATCTAAACATGGGACTTCCACGTACTTCGATACAACCCAACCAAAACTTCCTCCTCACACGTGATTGTTGTGTTCCTCATTCGTCATATTGTGACTCGAGACCTTCTGAAAATGGAAATATAAACAATGCTGATCTTTTGGAGGGAAGTAGCCAAATCCTCCACTTTTTGTCAAAAAATTATGAAAAAAGAGAGCGGCAGGAAAAATATAGTTGTGCGAGTTTTCCAACCAAAGAGTGTTGTTCCAAGAGTTCTTTATAGCCTTCAGTCCCAATATAACTTGAGTCTTTTCTTTACTTACTGTTCCCGGAGACTCCTCCGGTTTGAATGCCGAATGCAAAAGGGAGTCTACCAAAGATAAAAAAGGCTTGACCCCTTTGCAAACCGTCCAAAACGCCCGCTTCTTGGTATATCACGTTAAAGACTTCGTCAACAACAGTTTGTATTAAGAAAACTACAAGTTATTTGTTCACTTCTGGTCTTGAGTCTTCTACTTGCTTTCGGGTACTTATTGGTACAAGTGATTGTTGGAGAGAGTGGTGCCTATTAAGCATTAATTACTG